AAGGGTCCAAGTAGTCATTATTTATGGTTTTTAGTACTTAAAAAGGCCCCAGAGCCCTATAGTAGAGAGTACTTGGACCCTCAATGTAATGACAAGCAGTAATTTGTAACGCTTACAGTTGCCATCACGCTTTACTCCTCCTACCTGTATTCTACACACCATATGTTTGGAAAAAGAGTCTAGCTATAGCAGAACAGCCCATATTAGTTTAACTATCATAAACAGGTGGGAAAGTAGGGTTTCGGTGTTTACTGCTCAAGGACCTCGTTCCAGAAGGCTCCACAGGAACACCGGTTTTCCGTCTAGAATAGCCTCAAGCCACTCATGAGTCACCTATAGTAATAGTAAGCCGATAGAGCAGATCGAAGCCCTAATTATATAGTTGCCAGAGCCTAACCACTGAGCTTGAGCCACCGCAGGCACCTTGGCAAAGCCACCGCTCCTGTGCCCAAGACAGTCGCTCTTTTGCTGCCTGAGGACGCGGGATGTTATCAGGTGTTTGTCTGAGACACCAGCACTTGCAATGTTGATCTAGACACAAGAGTGCGGTTGAATTGCACAACTGTCACTCTCACCCTTGCTGTCATCTTTCCTGTTGGAGTTGCTATGTCGTGTCTTTCTTATCGCTGTCTCGCTGTCTTACCCAAATGCCTTGACCCTAAACCCTAAACCCTAAACCCTAAACCCTACACCCTAAACCTTGGCTTTGATTCGCGTTGCACCATGGCGATCGAGTCCCAGACTCCTAGACCCAAGATCCCGAACCCCCCCCAACGCCCTATACTTGAGGTTTAGTGTGACACTTCGGGTTTAGGGTAAACCCTAAACTCTCATTCATCCCCAAACCCTAAACCCTAAACCCTAAAACCCTTCATCCCCAAAACCTACACCCTAAACCCTAAAACCCTTCATCCCCCAAACCTAAACCCTAAACCCTAAAACCCTTCATCCCCAAAACAAAAAACCCTATAAACCTCGCACCCAGTAGAACCCTACTCCCATGCTCCGCTTCTTCAGGAGGAGGATGTCACAGCGGCCAGGGCTGCCACGAGCAGCCTGGCTGTCAAGCCTGGAGATCGTTTAGTGTTTAGGGTTTAGGGCTTTGGGTTTAGGGTTTTAGGGTGTAGGGTTTAGGGGTTTAGGGGTTTAGGGTTTAGGGTTTTGGAACTCTGAACCGCCACGTGTGTTGGTTGAGGTTTAACTTAGTTCTCCAATACCCAACCTTTAAACTTTTTGGGCTCTTATAACTTATAACTAAGTAAGTCTTAGTAATCTGAAAGTTTGGCCTTTCTTTCTGTCCTGGCTTCTTGGGGAAGTAAGTTAAGCTTCAGATCAGGGTTCAAATCTAGTATAAGTTACCTACATGGCGGGGTTCGTGGTGTCTTGGATTCTGAGTTCATTCCGCCACATCCTGAACCCGAATCCTATTCCCAATCCTCCCCCAGGCGAGGTCATAGAAGCTATCGATGCCAGTAGCAAGAATTGTCTTGTTGTCCGTAGCTTCCTGCTAGAACGCGCGGCCTCCCAGCCGAAGCTTCAAGCCTTAGCCCTCAACTTCGGCCCTCCCCAACCAAAACCCTAAACCCCAACCCTAAACCCTAAACCCCTAAACCCGAAACCCCTAAACCCGAAACCCCTACACCCTAAATCCCCACTAACCCCTAAACCCCTAAACCCTAAACCCCTAAACCCTTAAACCCCTACAACCTAAACCCAAAACCCCTAA